GAATTAAAAAAAGAAAGCCGGCCTCTCGAGCCACAGCGGGTCACAGGCAGGACGGCAGGGGCAGATTTCCTCGACCGTGTTACAAGTAACCCATTGTGGAGCTGCCTGGCTGTAAACCGGCAGCTCTCCCTGCCCGCACTGCTGCTGCCTTTGATCTGGGAGCCTGGGCAATTAATCCCAGGCAGTTTCACTTCCTGGGTTTCATGCAGCAAGCCCATGTTGCAACGCAAAGCTGCAAACAGTTGGCAAGTGCAATGCTTGCTTGGCAATTTTTGTTTCTTTAATTCGGGGTGATGTTTCCATTAGTCACTGATTACAAGGGAAATTTATTTTTGCAAAAATTCTGATTTTGGCCCCAGCCTGACCTGTACTCACTCACTGACCGTGCCTGAATGTTCAGTGCCTGGTGCCATGAGAAAAGGGACATCAAAAAGGCTGACAAATGGATCTCAGGAGAGCGTGGAGTCATGCTGGACACTGTCACCCCAGGTGCTCTTACGGTTTGTGTATGCAGACTGCACACACAGGCTCAGTCACCCTCCCGAGTGGGGTGTAGGCTCTGGGGGCACTGAGACCCTCCTTCAGGACCCTCTTCATGGGCAGAGAGCCATGTGAGGAGGGGGCTCACTGCTCACCCTGGTATGGCAGACAGACACACCCCAAACCTTTCTGTCTTTGTATGAAGCCAGGAACATGAGGGGTACAAACCTCAATGAATCTGGCACAGGAGCACATGCCCAGGAGCATTTTTGTGGAGCCCCTTGACACCAAATCCTCTGAACAGCTTGGGTGCTTGCTAACCAAAAGGAGAAGGGAAAGGGCTAAGGGAAAGGCTGAACCCCACGGGCTGCAGGGCTTGGGGTGCAAATCCAGTGTACCCCTGCCTGTGGAGTCATATGGGGGCCTTTGTCCCCCTCCCTGGCCAACAGCTCCTCTTCACCCTGCAAGAGCTGCCTCTGCAGCTCTGCATGGCAGGGAGTGTGTGGGAAGCGGCACAACCCCCAGAAGGGCCGTGTGCTAATTAAATAAAGATAATGAGGCTGAGAATGAGATGCCAAATCAATGCTGTGGCAACTCAGGACTAGAGCGCCAGGTACCAGCCTGGCGTATCGCCTTACAAAGCATGCCAAAGAAACTGCCTTCAGCCAGGCAGGATGAGCCCTCTGCTCCCAAGGGACTGAGATACAAGCTGCATTGTAACAGGTCTGAATGCAAGGTCTAATCTTGGCTCTGGATGGAGATAAAGAGGAGGAGGAGGAGGAGGAGATCTTCAAAGGCCACTGAAAGTCTGGGGAAAGGGGGAGATTTACAACAGGGCTTATCCCATCTAAGCAGTAACTGGGTATTGTTATTTATTAAAATGCCATCTGGCACTCTGGAGCGCTGCTCACCCGCACGGTGAAGCCTCGGCGGGCTGCCCGGGGCGGGAGTGACGAAACCCCAGCTCTGGAGAGCCACCTCCACACTGCTCCCCGTGCCACGGGGGCCAGGAGCCTTCTCGGTGGTGCTGGACTGTCAAAACCGGGTAAGGGAAGATCCAGCTGAGAGCAGAAAAGAGATGCAGCTCCAGCTTCTCACAGCCCTTCTTCAGCTGTTTCCACTTAAAACACACGATCATATGGCGGAAAATCTGATCCTACAAGCACAGCACAACTTTCCCAGAGAAATGTGAGGACACTGCTGCTTCTGCCCAGCAAAAGGCAGACTGCCGGACGGAGACGTGCCCGTGGCTCAGTGTGGCTTCCCTGCCTGCTGCAGAACAAACTGGGGCTTGGGGGGAATCAAATGCACTGGGAAAGCTGCCACATGGGGTCTGTCCAGATTGTGGGATGTGGATCTCACCCCAGGCTCCAGTAATGCCCTGAGACCAACTGGTCCTCAGTCCTGCCTTGGGATGCCTCTGCTCAGCACAGCCCAGATGCTGGCTGGAAATGATGTCACCTTGTGCCCAAATCCCCCTCCCTGCTTGGGAAGAGCCAACACCCTGTACAGTCTACTATCTTCCAGTCCAAGCAAGAAGTAAACCAGCTCCCCAGAAGTGTGGACCCCAGTGCACAGTTTTAAGTGTGGATGGACCCCTGGCACCAGTGTCCATTTGCCCCAGGAGGAGCCAGACCAGCTGCTCACAAGACTGATGCTGGGGACTGAGCCACTGAGGTCAGGGCTGTGCTGGCACCAATGGTACTGGAGGCTCTGGACCTGCAGCAGAGCTGCAGTCTTGTCAAGGCTGAGTTCTAAGCATGGCTGACAGCTATGCTGCTCCCAAAGCCCGTGGAGGGGCCTGTGCGGCCCAAGCCCCACGTCACGGGCCGTCCCAAACTGCATCGCCACTGCCAAGTGCAAGGGGCCGGCGCCAAGCATCCCGTCATCAGCGAGCACGAGGCATCCAGCGCCAGGGGCCCAGCCAGCATCCCTCTCCCTACACAATGCCTCCAGCCAAGGGGAACGGCAACCCTTCTGCCCTAAACCCCAGCCATCCCAGGGCAGGGTTCTGCCTGCCAGAGACAGCTCCCAAGGAAAAAGTCACCCCGAGAGAACAGTATACATCCAGGCAGATTTTTCCTTATCAACACACCCAAACTGGGGTTAAACAGCAACACCAAAGCTATGGTGGGAGAGCATGGCAGCTGCAGGACCCACACAGGGCTATCCTGCTGTCAGGGTGGCTCTCCAACCCTAATATCTCCATGTACAGGATGTGTTTCCCTCCCTCTCAAGCAGAAACAGGGAGCTTTAGATCCCCTGCCTTCGTGCTGCTCCCCACGCTCCCTGCTGCAAGCCTTCAGTGCTGGCAGGGGGAGCATCCATCCGCATGGCTTCTCCTGCAGTGGAGCCTCGATCACCACCAGGGTTTCTGAGTGCCTCTGCACAAGCAGCGTGAAATTGTGCTTGCCAGGAACAATCACTCGCCCCAGCCACAAGCACTACAGGAAGGAGGGAGGGGAGATGCTGGATACAACAGCAGGGGTGACAGAGGGGTTTTGGTAGTGCTCAGGGATGTGTGCTGGATCCCTGTGAGGACCATGCCTTGAGCCACAGCTCTGAACCAGGAGATGCATTCCACAGAAGGTAGCACCAGTGGATGCTAACTGGTGTGTCACAGCTGACACTGAGCCAGTTCAGACCATGAAGGCTTTAAAGCTTTCAGATGCTGAGTCAAACTGCAGATCAGTCCTCTGAAATACTCCCCTGCTCCCTTCTCAGGGAGTCTGGCCAGCTCCCAAGCCTTCAAAACCAGACCGAGCTCAACGCAAAACTACCTCCTCTGCATCAGCACATCCGCAGGGGCAAAAGCCATGATCACTCTGACATGCGCATACCTTGGCACTGGGTATCCTTCATGGTCGGCTCATATCCAGCGGCACACGTACACGCTCCCACAGGTACCATCCACTCGCCATCACCGTTGCAGTACAGCTTTAGGGGCACAGACACTTCCACTGCATTGGGGATGCAGGTGCCTGGTGCAATGACCAGAGAAGTGGGCTCGGCCCCCGTTAAAGTCTCCGGGAAGATAGCAAAGCCAGCAATGGTGTTGGAGCATTTCTTGTAGAAAGCCCGGACAGAGATGAGGGACATGCAGGCTCCCAGATCTTGGAAGGCAAGGTAAAAGCCATTCTTGGAGAGAGGGCCAAAGCTGCGCACCTTGGTGTTCACGCGGCCAGACTCCAACTTGGAGAAGCTCTCATCTGGGGCAATTGTATCCACTTTGATATAGGGGTTCTCCATCCAGAAAGGGCTGTTCGCAGAGGCAGAATCCGTATCTGACTCATAATAGAAGAGGTTGAAGGTCTCTTTGCAGGAGCCAGGGATGTTGGGGATGCTGTTGCAGTCCCGCACGGTGAACTTCAGCTCCACATAGACACGCTGGACATCCTGGCGCTGGATGAACTTAGTGCGAAGCCAGTTGTTCTGGTTGGCCTCCCGTACGTTGCACACCTGGTACGTGCGGATGGGGTTCATGGCCTCGTCATAACCGCTGACTTCTTCCCACTGTGAACGAGAGGGAAAGGGTTAGATCCCCAGGCAGGGCCATCAGTGTCACGGACACATCACGAATGGCACAGGGTGGGGGGCAACAGTCAACAGGGAAGAGCAGCAGCTGCACGTCCACCTGTTGCAACCCTCCTGGTCATCAAGGTGACTAAGAGCAACCCAGACCGGGGACCATGGCACTCCCGCTCCGCTGGCACAGAGTCAGGAGGACATGGTATGACGAGGCGAGGATAAGCATGGGAGGGAAGGAGAAAGATGCAGCCAACTCCACAAAGGCACTGGCAAACAACCCTGATTTCCATGGGGCCAGGGCCAGCTGTGCCCTTTGGAGGTCAGGACCAGGGCTGGCTCCAAACTTACCCCTGTCTCCGGATGCGTTGTCCATGCCAACTCAGAGGTCACCCATTTCGTGTCCATCAGGGTCTCTGGAGAAAAAGGAAGGAGAGAAAAAAGTAATTGGAGATGAAGGCCAAGATTAGAGGAAAAAAACGCAGGAGGAGTGGGGGAGAGGAGAGCAGAGCCTGACATTTCTGTGGAAAGCAGCAACTTGGGGGGTGAGATGTGGTGGGAGGAGGGGGAGCAGTGCAGACAGACTCCAGATTTCTCTTCTCCCATCAGGAGAACAGGAAGAGCGAGGCGTCCCTGGAGAGCTGTGCTGGAGCAGGCAAGCAGCAGGACAAGGAGCTGGCCAGGTGGCAAGAGGGGAACAGGAACAGGCTGCCACCCCCAGCCACCAGCACAGCCAGTTTTGCCCCCAGGCCAGTGCAGAGGGTGCCAGAGGAGGGAGACCAGGTGCCCCTGTCCATACCCTCCCCCTCTGCTTTGGCAGGGTGAGTATTTACTGTGGCTGGGGTTGAAAGGGCCCGTTCCCATGACAGGGCGGTGCGGGCCAGGCAGGTTTATCCAGAGGAGGAGGGACTGGCAGGCTGCTCTCCCAGAGACGCCCCACATCACTCATTTTACAAGAGGGGAGAAGAATTTGACCGTCTGGCCAACATTCCTGGAGCAGACTACAAGACAAACCACCCCGGCAGCATTCCCCAAACAGCCCCAGCCCCAGCCTTGGGGGAGCGAGACGCTTGTCTGGGAAGAGCTGCAATTGCAGGCAGCTGTCGCTAATCCCGGGCAGAGCCGTGTGGCTCTGCGTGAGCACCATGCACAAGAACTGGGAGCAAAATGCACGGGTGAAAGTATGGTAACATGTTCTGGGGCCAATGGCCCCTCTGTGGGCTGCTGGTCCTGAGACTCTTGCTCCACGGATGGCCCCTAGGCTGTTTGTAGGGGAACAGGTACCCCAGGGGCCTCTGGACCCTCTTCTGCCTGGAGGGGCGCGGATGCCTGGAGACCCCGGTGTGCTCAGAGAGGTTTCAGTGCCTGTCCCAAGCAGGACCTGGGACCAGCTCTGAAATGCCTCCCTGATGAGGGCACTCCCCTTCCCAGACGCAGGCATGGCCCCATCTCAAACACCACACAGCTCCCCAAGGGCTGTCCATCCATCCCTCAGCCCACCCAGGCACAAGACATGAGGCAGGGAGTCATGGCTCTCCAGCTCTGAGGGCCAGCAGTGGGCTGGGAGCGGCTCACCCTCACCGACTGAGGCACAAGACATGCAGGGGCACCTCAGCTGTGCTCGCACCATGGCTCAGCCCCAGAGCAAGAGGCAGTTTCAGCTTCTTTCCTTCCACCCCAGGAAAACCACAGGCTGACCCGGCCAGGGAGGAAGTGTGGAGGAGGAAGGAAACATTCATGCATTGCAGGGTTTCAGATGAAGCTCGTCTGGAGGTAAACACCTTCCTCCCGCGTCCCACCCCGGGGAGACCCGCCAGCAGCTCCTGAGCCAGCACCCACAGACAGGCCGGGAGCATGGGCTGTGGGTGCCACCGCGGCACAGATAAACAAGCACATTTGAGGACACGTGGGCTCTCTGACCTGCCTTGTGGTTTGCCAGGTTCCCAGCCTGGCCAGCAAGCTTGCTTATTGCCCAGGCTGTTCGCCTAAAGCAAACAAACCCATCACAGGCTGGTGGCACTGGCAGTGGACGTGGTACTGGGGACAGAGGGAGGAAACCCCTCATGGTGCCAGCTCTCCATCAGGAGAGGGGCAGCATCTACAACAGACATCAACTCTGGTTTGTCACCGCAGAGGCGGTTACTGGGCAGTAGTTATTTGCTGTTTCTCAAAAACATAAACTAGGGGCATGTAGCGAAAACAAAGGGCGAGAAGGAAGGAGCCCTCTGCCAAGCTGGTAATGCAGGAGGGCTGGGGCACAGGATGGGGCTAGGCACCCACTCATGAGGCAACCTTTACTCGGTTCATAAGATTACCTGCCCAGGAGACACAGCAAACAGCCATTCCTCTCCCTTCCCATTTCCCACACCATCAGCTACTGAACACTGGCAGGAGCCCAAGCACGGCTCTGCATGGCCACAAGATCCCCAGAGACACTGCTGTGCTCCCCAGATCTCTGCATGGGGTGGCTGCCAGGACGGGTGGGCAGTGTCAGCTCATGGGGGAACAGGTTCCAGAGCAGGGCTTCCTGCACCTCTCCGAGGGACAGGCCCCATGTTGGCTGCCCTAATAAGGGCACAGTGGTGCCGCAAGGGCCCAGGCTCGAGGCAAACAGAGCCAAGCACGTGCTCAGCACTGACAGTGCTGGGCTGCCAAGTCCTGGTGCAGATACCCTGTGTGCATCCAGCCAGCACAGCACCCCACTGCCAGCATGGACAGCTGAGGGGTGTTTCTGCAGGAAGAGTAGAGAAGGGATGCCCTGCGTGCTCAGGGCTGGGGCTGCTGATGGATGAGCGGCTGCAGCAGTGAGTCAGGCTGGGGAGATGGGGATCTGGGTGGCAGGGTGTGCCCACAAGCAGAGCGACACAAGGATCCCGTGGCCAGCCATGGCATAGCTCAGACTGACCAGACCATGCAGGGGTTTGCCCCTCAGATGTGCCTAGGATGTACAGAACTCCCCTGAATGCCAGCAGCCCCATGTAGGAAGCCCTTGCCATGGCTGCCTCCCCTCCAGCAGCACCCTTCCCCACGAATGTCATCCCTGGGCAGAACCATGGCTTGGACAGGAGGCTTGTTGCCTGCATCCTAATTTGGCAGCATCTGTCATCTGACCAGCAGAGGAGACAAAAAACTGACAGAGCCAAGCCGGCTGCTGGCACGAGAGCCACGTAAACCACACAGAGAGAGCAGGGAGGGGAAATAATAAAATCACAGAGCGACTTGGCTAAAGGAAACAGGCTGAGCACAGAGGGCAAAAGGGCTTTCCTGCAGCCACGGGAGTGACCCAGGTGGGGTCAGTGGCGTTTCCCAGACCCTCACAGCCTGTCACTGTGAAGGTGGGTGGATGGCCCCATGGGCTGCTGTGCTGCATGGTCCCAGGGCTGGTGGCACATGCTGAGCTGAGCTGCAGATACCACTCTCTGCCCTTAAAGCTGCTGCAGATATCTCATGGCAGTCTAGCACCAAACCCATGTCCTCTCTCACATAAACACTGGGGCATGCCAAGTGGCCCTCCAAGAAAGGGAACGTGCTAGCGTCCAGGCCTGGGAAGCCCAAGCATTGGGCTTCAGTGGCTCAGGAGCAGCCAGCTGCACTCTCCCTCCAGCACACGGTGCCACAGGTGGGCTGAGAGGCATCACCAGTAATTTCCCGGCGCAGTTCAGGTTTGCAAGTGCTTTGGAGGGACATGAAAGGTGTCAGAGCTGGCTGAACAGTGAGTCAAAGCCACTTCAATCCCGCATGCCACAGTGAGAGCCTGGTCCCATTAGTCAACGGGAAATTGGCTCCCAATTTTGCCAGCTTGGAGAAGTGACCCTAAGGCTTGCCTTATCACTGTCTGCAGCACTGGGAGTTGTCTTCTCCTTACCTTCATCTGGGCAAAGGCAAGACATGGAGCCTTGCTATCTTCAGTGAGTGCAGACGGCCATAGTCAACCCCACATAAAAGCAGAATTTCTATGGCAGGGTGGGATCCTGGGACAAGGACAGAGCCTTACCCCTGAGACAGATCTGAGCATCATTCCAGTTGCCTCCTCCCTGCCCTGCAAAGGTCTCCTCCCAGGCACACCCCAAGCTGCAAAAACGAGCCATCCCCCACCAGCAGCCCTGCCATCACCTCCATAGGGTCCCCAGCAGTTCACTAGGTGTTTGAAGCCCTGGCAAGGACCCATCTGGAGCCCGGGACCTCTTTCTCCCGGTGCAGAGGCTCAGGAATGCGGCGTGCATGGTCTGAGGCCAGCAAAAACGTTTGAACTCCCCCCTTAAGAGGCCCAGAGAGCCCGTCTTGCGCTGCTGAGCGGCAGACGCGCGCAGCAGCAGTGGCTGAGCCAGAAAAGGGGGGGGGGGGAAAAATATCAAAATTCTTTCAAGATGAAGCCACTGGGGAAGACTCAATCGTCTCCACCAATAGGCTCCAATTCTAACATTCTCTTCTTTGAATACAAGGACCGACGGCTTTTATCAGAATGCGCTGGCAACGTAGGATGCCAGCTCCTTGCCCTGTTGAGGAGAAGGCATCTCTCACAAGTCCAGAGCATCCTGGAAGAAGGTAAGGGAGGAAAGTTAGTAAAGACGCCCACGCAGCCTCGCCACAAACAGAGGAACCTGCTCTGCAACGTGCCCATGCTCTCTGAGAGCTATGCACACCATGGCACCATGCCTGCAGGAGCTCCGTGTGGGACGACTGGCCCAGACCAGCCACATGGGGCCACTTGCCCTGTTGAGCTCCTGCAGACACCATTGATGGCCAGGCCATTTGCCCCAGGACATGGCTTGGCTTCCACCACGGTGGTGCCTAATGCCTCCTTGTCCTCGCCACCATGCTTCTCTCCCCTGGAAGGAAAGGCAGCTTGTTTAGGGATGCACTTTAAATCCTGGTGACTGCCTGCTAGTCAAAAAGCCACCAAAAGGGGCATCTCCCTGTATATTTTAATTTCCTCCTCGGTTTTGAAGATAATTACGGCAGAGGCGAGTGGCCTTGTGTGCTCCCCATTCAAGCACCTATCGGTACAATTAATCCCGGCATCGTTCTGAGCAGCGGCACAAAGGGCCTTTGGTGTAAGGTCCTTTATCTGGGAACAAAGAGCTGCCTGTGGGAGAGAACCTGAGGTTGCACTTTTCCCGCTGACGAGCGTTTCCCGTACACAAAAGCTGAGCCACACGGAGCGCCCTGTGCGTGCGTCAGGTCTGGGAGACCCTGCAACACGTTTTCTTGAAGCGTGTAGCTCATCCAGTTCCCTCCTCCTCCTCCAGGAGGGTTCTTCCTCCTCTGACCCTAGCTAAACCCTGTAGCTGTCCTCCTCCCGGGCAGGGCATGTCACTGCTCCGAGGCTAGGGGACTCCACATGCTGCCTGCATGGGGGAAGCTCTCCTGTCCCACTCAGCCCACGTGGATGTAGCACACCACAGACAGCAGCTTCGGAGCAGTCGTGTGCACAGGAGATGGTGTGCTGGGAGGTTTTGGTACTCGGCAGCCCCTCGTGCCGGAGCAGTACTACGGGGAGGAGATGCTCTTACAGCCAAGAGCCAGGGAGGAAACCTGCAGCCAGGGAGGGAGGCAGCACCCAGGGTGGGCACGGGGGTTGGGAGCCTGGGGAGGGTTCCGGCAGGCGCTGTCTGCCAGCTCCCTCTGCAGGGACAGGGCTGGCAGCACTGGCAGCGCGCTGCACAGCCCACAGCCCTCGTTCTCTCCCAGGAATCCCATCTCTCCCGGGGACTGTTTGCGCGCCCAGCCACCCGAGCGCTCAGCGCACGGCCAGGGGGCTGTGCTGGTCCCACCCTTGCCCTCCCCGGC